GAGAACCCCTTATCTCGCCTCGTGATGCCCCAACACCGGCATCACCGACGCCCTTCACGCTTTCAGTTGGGTGGAGTCAGCCCCAAATGACGGCCCTACCTTGTGCCTGATGGACATGCTGCTCGTGTCACTCCCCATGCAGGCGTCCCTCGGCCTTTTCCTTGCGTTTTGTTTGTTTGCTTAGAAATTCGGCCGTGTGTGCTGTAGGCTCTCCCACAGTCTGTTTTGTGGTTGCACCCCTGTGGCATCATTCGACATGTTACCCTATCCCCTGTATTTCCCCAAAGCTGGGTAGTTAGATCTAGAGGTGTGATAGGATGCAGGGTTTTCGTTTTGCCTTGTTTTGGTGGGAGGAGCTTCAGAGGTAGGTTTGTGTCTGTCCAGCCCCCATCTCGTGCTGTGATGTCAGTGCTCAAGCTGCAGAATCACTGGGGTTCATCAAGTGGGGAGTGCTGTCATAGCTTCTTTTAATTGAGGTATAATTGACATATGTGAAATTGTGTGTGCATTAAGTACCTGGTGCATTTGTATCTGTGTGCACATCTGTGTGACAGTCACCACCAGATGAAGGCAGAGAACATTTTTTTTTTCCTAGTACATAAATATTTATCATCAAGCAAGCACATGAATAGTTATATCATTCAGGAGGTCACTAATCAGAGAACATTTTTTACACTCTGAATGTTCTCTTGTGCATCTAGTCGGTCCCCCAGCCCCCACCCAGAGGTGACACTAGTGTGGCCTCTGTCCCCATAGGTTAGTTTTACATGTTCTGCGTATAAATAGACTTGGCAGTATGTGCTCTTTTGTGCTTTTTAGGTCATACTATTTTAAGATTCATTCTTGCGTTGCCCCAGTGGTAGTCTGTTCCGTTTGTGTGGCTGTGCTGTGCTCCACTGTATGAAAGGCCACGGCTTATCCATTCTGCTATTGGAGGACACCGGATGTTTTCCCACTTGGGGATATCATGAATAAAGCTGCTGTAAACATTCTCGTGAAGATTTTCCTCAGAACATTTCTCCTGGATTGGTGCCAACAGGGCAGGGTACTCATGGGGCTGGACTTATATTTAGTTCTGGGTGAAACTGCCAGAGTTCTCCAAAGCAGTTGCATGATCTATACTCCCACCAGTGACGTACCCAAGTTGTGGTCACTCTGAGTCCTATGTACACATAGTGTCGTCAGCCCTGTGCGTTTTAGCCACTTTTGGTGAGCGTGTGTGTGTGTGTTCCTTTCCTTTGTTGAGGTGTAGGATGTGTCAAGTGAAGCGCACTGATCTTAGTTCAATGTGTCTGGATGAATATACCCTGTAGTGTGTGTGCAGGTCAGAATATAAGACGCCCCTTCCCACCAGAAGCTCTCTCAGCTCCTTCCAGTTAGCATCCCAGGAGCCACCTGCCTCTTCTGATTTTTGTGACTTACATGTCTACCTATTCCTGAACCTCCCAGGTGGTGTGGTCATAGTGTCGGTGCCCTCTCACACCTCAGTTCTCTCACTGAGAATGGTGTTAAGGTCATCCCTGCTGTGTGTGTCAGTGGCCACACCTTGTATCACCAAGCATCACACAGGTCATCCAGTCCCCTGGTGATGAATGTTTGGGTTCATTCCGGTTTTGGCTTTATGAATAATGCTGCCCAGAACATTCTCATGTATGTCTTTTTGCAGGTATGTGCTTGCGTTTTGGGGGGTAAGGGGTGTGAATACCCAGGGGTAGAATTACTGGATCACAGAACCATGTGTGTTAGACTTTATAAGAAACATTTCCAAGCGGCTGTCCATTCTGCGCCCCTGTCAACAGTGCAGGCACGCTTCAGTACTCCACACCCTTGCCCACGCTTGACTGTGTCAGGGTTTTTAAATTCCAGCCATCGTAATGGGTGTGTAACGTTCCCTTGTTTTGTTACACAATTTGCATGTCTCTGTTGAATGACATTGAGCCTGTCCTTGTGCTTCTTGGTCATTCAAAGATCTTTTTATTATTGACCCGTGGATGTTCTTTACATATTTTGGACAGAAGGCCTTTGTCAGAAAGACAAGTATGAATCTTTTCCCCCAGGCTCTGGTTTCATAAACCAGTTACTTTTTTAATAGTGTTTTGATGAAGATAATTTTTAATTTTGATAAATCTAATTTGGAAATAGTAATAGTGGGCATCCTTGGCTTATTCACAGTCTTGGGGAAAGCATTAATATTTCACTGTTAAGTGTGTTGTTAGCTGTAGGTTTTTGTAGATACTTTATATCAGCTTGAGGACATTCTTATCTTAGGAATGCTGAGAGTTTTTATTATACAGCGGGTTGAATATTATCAACTGATTTTTCTTTATCTATTGAGATGATCATGTAGAATTCACCAATTGTAAATGATTCAGTGATTTTTTTTTTTTTAGTAAATTTGTAGAGTTGTTCAACCATTATCTCAGTCTCTGCTCCGTGCCCAGCCCCTGGTGAACATAGTTTGCCTTCTGTCTCCATAGACTTCTTTTCTGGACTTTGTGCATAAATGGAATCACAGGATACCCAGTCTCTGTGTCCGGCATCTCTGAGTTATCCCCTCGTGTGGCTGTATCACGTGTCGTTCACCTGTTGGATGGGCGTTTGCATTGTTCCCAGTCTTTGTTAAGATTAATGCCGTCGTGAACATTTGCATGTGGACCCTTGTGTGGGCGTGTCTCAATTCACCTTACATAGATATATAAGGGAAGAATGGCTAGATTGTACGGCAAGTTTATGTTTAATGTTTTAAGAAACTGCCAAACTATTTTCCAGAGTGGTTGTATTGTTCACATTCTTGCCATCCGGGTGTGAGGGTCACAGTTCATTCGCATCCTTGCCGACACTCGTTCATCAGCTTTTGACTCATCGTTGTCATCATTCTAGAGACACAAAGCAGCGCCTCGTGGCCTCTGTCTGCTGTTCCGGGACAACGGAGGATGTCCAGCGTTTTTCATGTCACTTTTGCATCCACATGTTTTTTTGGTGAACTGTCTTTTCAGATCTTTTCCCATTTTTTAATTGGGTTATTTGTTTTCTTATTATGGAGTTGTAAGAGTTCTTCTTGTATTCTGGATACAAGTCTTTTATCAGATATATGGTTTGCAAGTATTTTCTCCCAGTCTGGCTTGTCTTTTCATTTTCATAATGGTATCTTTTGAAACATACATTTTTAATTTTGAAGAAATCCATTTTATCAACTTTTTAATTTCATAGATCATGCTCTTGGTATCACATCTAAGCAGTCTTTGCCTGACCAAAGGTCATGAAGATTTTCTCCTATGCTTTTTCCTGTACGTCCTGTAGTTTTAGCTCATATATTCAGGCCTTTGGTCCATTCAGGTCACCTCTTGTGTGTGGTGAAGGAGGGATCTGAACTTCATCGTTTCCATGTGGGTTTGCATTCCAGCTGTTCAGCGCTGTCAGTTGAAAAGATCATTTTTTCTGCCACTGAGGTGACCTGGCTCCTTTGTCAAAGATCAGTTGGCCATGGACACAGTGGTTTGTTTCTGGACTGTCCTCCGCTCCCATGACCTGTGTGTCTGGTCTTATGCTATGATCCATGCTGTGTTGATCACTATTGTGTCAGGGTAAGTTTTGGACTTGGGAGATGTGAGTCCTCCACCTTTATTCTTCCTTTTCACACTTGTTTTGGCTCTTCTGGGTCCTTTGCCTTTCCTTGAAAATTTTAGGGTCAGCTTGTTGCTTTTTGCAAAACAGAGCTTTCTGGCGTTTGGGGAGGAAGGCGCTGAAGCTGCAGTTCAGCTTAGGGAGAATCGGCATCTTACAGTACCAAGTCTTCTGCTCTGGGAACACGGGCGTCTCAGTGCCCTTGGCTCTCCTCTTCTGCCGCCACAGTCGCGACCCGGCAGATGGCTTCCTGCCGCCCACGCCGCATGCGCCTGTCCTCTCCTTCCTGTTCTTCAGATCGTCTCCGTCGACGTGCATCTGACTTCTCGTGTCTTTTCTTCTGCTTCAGCTAGTCTGCTAAGTCTGTCCAATGAATTCTTAATTTCAGATAGTATATTTACAGTTTTATAACGGTTATTTTTTGCAATTCCACTTCTCTGATGAAATCCTTGATTTTCCCTCATTTTGTTCATTTTTTCTTCTAAATTTCTTACCCTATTTATCAGAATCACTTTAAATCCCTCATCTGATAATTCCAGCATCTGGATCTTTGAGGTCTGCTTCTGTTGATTTTCTTTTTTTGTGATCACGGGTCCCATTTTTCTGTTTCCTTACACGCTTTATAATTTGAAGGGGAGACCAGTCATCGTCTTTAAAATCGTGATGTCATTTCTCCTGAGCGAGGCCTGTCTTCCTCTGCAGCAGTCGAGGCGAGGAGCCCGTTACTCCCATGCAGCTGGGAGTGGGGTGGGTCGGGGCGGGACCACAGTGCCAGTTCCCATTCACCCCGGGCTCCAAGTGCAGCGGGGCACAGTCTGCTTGGGGTTCAGGGTGTTGAGCGCCCAGGCCACGGGCTCCCCATTCTCCGTCCTGACAGTGGGCTCCTGGGCGGCACTGCAGCAAAGAACGAGTGTGACTCGCCAGCTTTTCTTGAAGATTAGGGTAACACAAAAGCATTTTAACTGGTGAGACACTTGGAGCATCCTTATATTAAAAAACAAGAAACATCTGTTTATGGAGTAAAATACAAAACTCCCCTGATTTTTCTGGTAAAACAAAGTGTCATCCATCCCATCTGTTGCTCGCCCATGGGAGCCTGGCACTGTGCTGACTCTCGGGCGCAGGGGGGCACGTCTGTCCTGACAGCAGACCCCAGGCTGGAACCTTCCTCCTCCTCACAGGTCACCCCTGCGGCCGGACGTGGCCGTCCCCCGGCCCAGGCAGTGGCCCCTTGCCGTGGGAGCTGCTGACGGGCCCTTTAACACTCAGGAAGAGGACAGGCCTCTGCCCCGAGCTCGGTTCCTGCAGCAGAGTTGTCTGCGGCCCCCCGAGAGCTCCCTGGCCTCTTTGCTGTGCGCTTCCTTTCTTCTTTCCAGGTTTGGGAAAAGTTCTTAAGTCTTGAAACCCCACGGATTAATATATTTATGGCCGTGCCCACGATATACAGCAAGCTGTTGGACCACTATAACAAACACTTCACCCAGCCTCACGTCCGGGATTTTATACGTGCAGTTTGTGAAGAAAAAATTAGGTAAATGGAAACAGTCCACCTTCCCATCCAGAAAGTTTTAAAGATCAGCAATGTAACTTATTTTTAATAAATCCATTCTACTAAGTTTCAGGAAGCAGCATTTTAGGAATATGCCTGTCTGTGCTCTTTATCATATCCTCCCTGTATCTGTCTGTGTTCCACTCCTCTGTGTCTGTGTGCGTGTCTCTATTCTGCACCTGTCCATACTCTGGGTGTCTGTCCGTCCTACGGTGGTGTCAGGACGAGGGTGAGGACAGCAAGCTGACCTTGCCCCTGTCCTTCCTGGCCCCACACCTACCCAGCTCTGGCCTCCCATGCCCGCCGTGTCCCGCTGTGCCGCCTCCCTCCTCTGTGCTCCAGTTCTCAGCTCCCTCCCTGTCGCTGGCACCATGGCTCTTGCCGTGCTCCCACAAATCCCCATTCAGATGCCCCCCTCAGAGGCACGGAGTCTTGGGGTGAAGCCTGCTCCGCCCTCTCCTTGAACCGTAGGCCCTGACCAGCTTCTCCCCCGCTCTTTGCCAGAGGGGGCTCAGCGGGCTCAGCCCCGAGTGAGCAGCACAGCACCTGCTCGCCCCCTGGTGGCTGTCGGAGGCGCTGCGGGCCGCATCTGTGACAGAACACCTGTGACACCACTGCGCGGGAGGCTGGGCACGTGTGAGTGCAGCGGCCTTCATGCAGTCTGCATGCAGGCACCCACGGCCTCCTGGCCACCCCGCATGTCTGATTCCTGGCCCTTAGTACAGCCCAGGAAGGCCATCTTTGTCTCCCGGAGAGAATTCTGGATTGTCCAAGACGCACATTTGGCGTCATTGTCGTTCGGCTCCCACCATCCTTGGCTCGGTCTGACGTGGACTGCAGCCTGCCATCCCCCTGCCCACACTTCACGAGGCATTGCAGGGCGGGGCACCTGGTGCCGGAGGTGTCCCGTGCAGGCACCAGTACCAGAGGGGGAGCACGTTCTACCCAAGTCCACAGACCACGAGCAGAGAGGGAGTCAGGGTGACTTCTGGGCGACAGAGGCCCTCAGACCTCACCATCCAGGCTCATAGCAGGGAGAGTCCTTGTGGGTCGCGGGCCCTGGCGAGGACGTGCAGGGCATGTTGCTGCTCTGGAGCCAGGAACAGCAGCGCCTTCTCTCCACACACGGTGCTTTAGTGACACGGTGACGCCACAGCAGCCAGGTGCTCTCGGGTTCCTGTCCTGAGCCCACCGGCACAAGGCCGGGGAAGCTCTGCGTCCCCGCTGTGGCAGGTGAGAGCGGGGCCCGGCTCCTGCTGTCTGCCCCTCTGTGCCTCACATCTGATGGCGTTTTATCAGTGAACTCAGTTCTGTCGTTGCACTCTTACTATTATTGCTGTTACGTAGGGTTGTCTGTGGGCAACACAGTGATTATCTGCAGATGGTCGCCAAAGACCCTGAAATCATTTCTTTTTCCTCAATTACCCATCCTTTTGAAGAAGATTGACATTTCAAAATATACCCCATAAATGATTTTCAAAGAACAAAGTTCAGTTTTAGCCCAACTGTAGTTTTTATCGTGGATTTTAGTGATGTTGACTGAAAAACAGTTTACATTGTCTGTCTCTGTGCTGGGAGGTGCCGTCATCTCTGAGAAGCTGACGTCGCCTCCGGTGTGCCTGCTAGGTTGATGGTTTCCGGATCGGCCGCCCTGCCCCTGCCTGTGCTGGAGGCCTGGAGGAACGTCACAGGCCACACCCTGCTGGAGAGGTACGGGATGACGGAGATCGGCATGGCCCTGTCCAACCCCCTGACCACGGCTCGCTTGCCAGGTATAAGCTGTGTCCCCTCCCTCTGCTCAGGGCCCCTTGGGGCCAGTGAGTGGACGTTGCTGCCTTGCTGGGCCAGGAGAACCTTCCTGGGGTGCTGGGCAGGCAGCTGTGGCCCGTCCCCTCTGGGCACTCACTTTTCTACCCAGTGGCCAGCCATGGACAGGATAGAGAGGTGTTCTTTAGGCCATGTCCTTCCTGGCAGCCTGGGGGACGTGTGAAAAGAATGGCACCACCAAGACCTGCGTGCTCAGCAGAGCCGGCAGGGCCCTGTCCACTCCCAGTACCTTTGGGGCCCTGCCTCTGTCTGTGCCACGCTGGCTACGGCAAGAGCCTCCTAGAGCCACGCAGGGCTGGGGACAGCAGGCGGAGTAGGGTGAGGGGGCCTAGCGCCTGTGTGCGGTGAACTGCACCATCTGGCCGCCTGCTGTTCTCGCTGGGTTCCTTCTGCCGGTCCTCCCACCCAGCCATCTCCGAGGCGTTCCCCTGTGACATCGGTCCTTGGCGGGAAGTGTACAAGCTGGGCCTGGGCCGGTGAGGGGGTGTTCTGTTCCATCCCCCTTTCCAGTTCTCACGACAGGCTCTTGCAGTTTGTCTGAAGCACTAGAGAAAGTGCAGCAGCTCTGTAGCTATGACAGCGCCCGTACATCCATTCCTCCTGTGCACAGTGAGGGCCACCCTCATGTTCAGTCCTAGCGTTTCAAAACCTGGTTGTGGAACCACTGTCACTTTCAAGATAGAGAGTTTAATCACCTTCTGGAACCTTCCCCTCTCCCGAGGTCAGCACTGCCACCTCCCCAGGGCCAGGCAAGCACATACCTATTTTCTCTTCCTGTGGTTGTGCGTTTTCAGGAACGTCGCACACGAGTCCTATGGTATGTGGTCTTTCAGACGACGTAGTGGAACTTGTCTGAGACTAATCTATGTTGCTTCCGCCCATTGCTGTTGTGTGGACAGGCCCCCGCATGTCACCCTGCTCACTGGCTGCAGGAGACTAGGTTATTTCTCGTGGGCAGTTACCAATACAGCTGTTGTAGACATTTGTGGGGATACATGTCTCACTTCTCATGGGTGAACACGTGGGCAGGGTGTGGCTAGGGCAGATGCTTAGCTTCCGGGAAGCTGCAGACTGTCTGCGGAACAGCCCCTGACCTGGGGTCCTACCCAACTGAGAGATGAGGAGACAGGGCATTGAGAAGTCACTCCCCTGAGCCAGGCAGCTGGTGAGCGGTGGTGCAGACATTCACTCCGTTAGACCTGAGACACCCACTTTGCCAGAAGCACAGCAGACAGCATAATATGGAAAAAAGAGAAGAGGGAAAGGTGGGCAGGGAACCTTGTGGGCCTCACTCACAAGAGCAAACACCAGGCTGAGAAGCCAAGCCCTGGAGCCAGGATGGGGAGCCGGCAGAGGCTGTGTGGGGACCGTCCACAGGCAGAGGCCCCAGCTGGGGCTCACGCTCGGGTGGCGGAGGCAGAGCCCAGGGGAGCCAGGAAAGCAGCCAGTCTGGACAAAGGCACCCGAGAGGATGTTCAGACTCCCTCTCAGGATGGCGGAACCCCAGGACTCTGACCCCCGAGGCTCACTGGGCAGGACATCGGGGAGCACAAACTCTTGATTATTAATTAAGCTGCAGCTCTTACTTGGCCTCAGAGACCACGGAGAAGATCAGAGCCCAGCTGGGCACAGCCTCTATCCTGCACACAGTCAGATACCCCTGGAATCTGACAGCACTCTGGTTCTTTGTGTCAGAAAAAGTAGAGTAGCCTCCACACGAACTTCAGAGAGCGACAGGAGAGTCCCTGCGACCTCTGCACTTTGTTTCTGGGGAAATCAGGCTGAGGTTTCTTGGTGCCGGGGCTCGTCCTGGTGGAGGCTCTGGGCTCCTGCTGGACCAGCCCATGTCCCCTCCCTCCCCATGCTGGACCCCACACCTGTCCTGGCTCGGTGTCCTCTTTGCCAGCCCTCCCGTCCTGCTCATGGCCCCTGAGGGCTGCTCCTACCGGCATCAGAAGACTCCAGGATCCATTTAAAGGTTTTCAAAACCTGATGGGCGCGGAGGGCAAGGTCACCCTCAGAGGAGGGACTCACTGCATGAAGGAGGGACGTTTGCTTTGTGCTAAGCTTTGGGTGGGATCCTCTGATCCTTCCTTCCCTGCATCCTGGTTACTGGTGAAGGTCGATGAATAATTCATGACCAGCCCTGCTGGGCCTAATCACCCGCTAATTGGAGGTTGAGATCAGAGGCGCTAATGGCCCCTGCAGTGACTGTGTGGAGCTTTGACAGGAGCTCCAGGACCTTATCAGCCTGTTTCCATTCTCTGGGGACCAGCTGCAGTGGCCTCACTGCCCAGACGCTGGACAGAGCCACAGGCCAATCAAAGTCACCTCAGAAGAGCTGACAGCTGTTCTGAAGGCAGTGCAAGAGCCACATGCACTTCTGACCATGGCCAGCGCTGCTTCCCAGGTGGACACTAGGAGGGCACTATCCCCGTTCTAGGAGGGCACTGTCCACGTGCTAGGAGGGCGCTGTCCACATGGGCAGGAGGGTGCTGTCCCCGTGGGTAGGAGCAGCTGCTGCCCCTCTGACCCTGCTCCGCTCTGCCAGCTTGAGGGTGGGGTGGGGGACCTGCAGGGCTCTGTGGCTGGCCCACCCCTGGCTGTAGTCCCCTCTGTGTGCAGAAGAAACTTTAGCATGTCTCAGGCCTGTAACACCCCGTCATTGATTCTTCCTGGAGACATTCTCCTGTGGCATCTGAGACACTGTAATCAATCACCTCAAGTGCTTTCATTACAGGTCTTTGTAAGGCTGTAACTTTTACCCTTGATGGAAGAAAGGGCTGAACAGCAGAGCGGAGCACGAGGAGCCAGAGACGGTTTCTCCTTTTTCAAAAACTACGAAGGAGAAATCAGTGGGTTGTAGGGGGAGGCTGAGGCTGGTGGCGGGAGGCTGGCCTTCCAGACTCCCTGTTGTGGGAGGAGGGGGGAGGACGGGACAGGTCCCCTTTCCTGGCACAGAGCTCCTAAGACCCCGCAGTTTCCTCAGAGGTGAGAGGGGAAGATGTCTTCAGCCCCCTCCCCCCACCCCTGGCCTCGGCAAGGAGAGAGGCCGGAGGCCGAGCAGAGCACCAAAGGCCATGACCCGGTCGGTCAGGCCCACACAAGGTGTCCCACGGAAGCCTCACCAGTGCCGGTGAGCAGGGGGAGGTGTGGGAGGTGCTCCTGGAGAGCGGGGCTCCTGGGCCCCCGCCTCGCCCCACACGCCTCTTCCCTCTGCCGCTCCTCAGGGGCGTCTTGCTAATAAACTGGAAACCTGGTGCGTGAACTGGTTTCCTGGGTTCTATGAGCCACAGTAGCAAATTAATTGAATCCCAGGAGAGAGGGTCATGGGAACCTCTGATTTGCAGCCACGCTGGACAGAAGTCATGGTGCCTGAAGAGGGAGGGGCGGTCTTCTGGGAATGGGCTCTCAACCTTGTCCACACGCCCCCCCTAAGAGCTGCTGCCCAGGTCAGGAGCCCTTGTCCCAGTGCCTCCCTGTGGTCCCGAGGCCTGGGGGGCCCTCTCTTCCCTCCTGGGGCGAGCACAGGGCCCACGCTTCTGAGGCCGTGGGGCTCTCTGAGTGGACCTGGGGCCTGAGCAGCTGGCACGCAGCCCGAGACAGGCGGTAAGAGCGGCCATCTGAGTCAGGCGCCCAGCCCCCTTCAGATTCTGGAGTCAGGTGCAGCGCCTCCTGCCTGGTGGCTTCCGGTCAGTTCCTAGAACTTATCCGTGGCCGGTACTTGAAGTCCTAGCTGACCAGTGTCAGAGGGAATGAATCCGCTCACAGTGCTAACGATTTCCCAGCATCAGGTAACCACCCTGCCTAGCACTGCCTTGCCCGTCCAGGCAGCAGGAAGCTGTCCGGTGACACAGGCACGACGTCAGCTCTGCGGGCCTCGGCGCCATGTGGGTGGTGGGCGGGTCAGCGTGGCCTGGGGGAGCGCCCTCCTGCACGGTGTCAGCCACCCACACCCAGCCTTTCTCTTCTGCACTTCACCTGCCCGCCTCCCCTGAAACCTTTGTTCTGTCACACACACACACCTTGTCAGTGTGACCACACTCCGGAGTCTCTTAAGGGTTAAATCCAGGGCAGCCTGCTGAAGTCTCACCATATATACGAGCAGCTGGGAGCACCCTGAAGGCTTTGGCCCTGGCCCAGGTGGGCACCCCAGCAGTGGCCCCGGCCTGTCCTTATCAGACACTGAGGTCCAGGGAGGAGCAGTATGGACAACTGGGGTTGAACCTGCCCCAGGAGAGAGGCCTGCACAGAAAGGGGAGCCGTGTCCAGGAAGGACAGGGCCCTGGAGGTTGGGGAGCTGTGTCCAGTGTGCAGGATGGCCTTGGTCCTGGCACCCAGGCGAGTGCCAGGCGGGGCAGCAGCATGGCTGGCCAGGTCAGGGCTGTGGTCAGGCCTAGCTCTGCGCTTGACCGGTTCCCATCTCTGGCCCTCGTGTCTCGTCTGCACGCCAGGCTGAGACCCCGGCCTCCAGGCTGGCTGGAGTGTTGAGGGTCCTGGTGCCATGCAGCACCAGGAAGCGTCCGGAGCCGGCAAATCTGTAGGGAAGGTGGTTTAGTGGCTGCTGGGAGACCGGGGGTATAGGGCATGAACGCTGATGGGCACAGATCTCCTTCCAGGATGGAAATTTCTCTAGGTAGTGGTGATGGCTGCACAACGTTGTGAATGTATGAAATGCCATGGAATTGAATTGTAATGATTAATTGATGTGGATTTCAATTTAACTTTTAAAATCTTGGGAAGAAAAAAGAAGGAAGGTCTGGGAAGGTGCTGGTCCCTCTGCTTCCCACTGGGACAGACACAGATTCTTGACCAGAGTCGAGGTCATGTCTCCAGGGTGTGGGACAGCAGAGAGCTCACTGGCTATGGGCCTGAACCTCACCCCTGAGAACCTCAGCCTCAGGGAGTCCGAGGGGACAGGGTGGTGCCTTTCTATCAGGTCCCACAACCCTGAGTGGAGCGTGCAGCTCCTGAGCCGGCTTCCCAGGACGTTATCCCATGTCAGCCCCTCATCGACTGTGGCAGCGAGGGCTGTGGCTGGTTGGGGGTACCGACAGGCCACCCCCACTCCCTGCCTAGTAAGTGACCAGAATGCCAGTGGTAGTCTCCCCAGCCGTGGGAGTCCACACCCACCACCTGCCTTCCCGCATCAGCCCCTCTAGGCCTTCTCTGCCCAGGGCACCCCAGTGCCCTCGCTTCTCTGCCAGGTGCTACCGTAAAAGTGGCCATGGTCCCCGTGGCCCTCTGCATGCTGGGACACCTCCCGAGATGCCTGAAGGTGTTGGCAGCACTGGAAGACAGCCTTCATGCTCTCAGGAGCCCGAGCACCCCCAGCGTGCACCATGTGGGGCTCAAGTCTTGGCCCTCGGGTCTCCCCCATGCGTGACGTCCTGCTGGGATGCAAACACCACAGGGTATAGGCCTCTTCTTTGGAGTCCCTCTGCACCTGTCTGCTTTCCTCTCCTGTTTCTTTTTCCTTGCAGGGTCTGTAGGGACCCCACTGCCAGGCATCGAGGTGCGCATTGTCTCAGAAAACCTGAAGAAGGAGGGCTGCCCCTACATCCTCCACGCAGAAGGGAATGAGAAGGAGACCAAGGTGGGCCCCCTTTTCATGGCTGACAGCACATGGTGTCGCATAGCTGTGACCACCCAGCAGACCAGTCATAGGGGCTGGAGGGTCTCTCTGCTTGGAGGTGAAGCCCCACACTTGGGGAACACCCCTCCTGCATGATGGGTGCTGGCTGGCATTTCCTGAGGGCACCGCTTGTGGTTCTGGGCACTGCTGGTTCTGTGGGCAGCGAGGAGTCAAGGCCTGGCTGTACCAGACCCGGCCCCGGCACCGTGCCCACTGGGCACACCTGGAGACAGGGCACGACCACCTTCCTAAGGATGGCCAGGTTAAAGCAGAGGGTGCAAGCAGCATCAGTTAAAAGGCTGTGCTGCAGGACCCTGGCGCCCAAGAGCAGACCCTGACCCTGAGGGCAGGTGCGGCTGGTCCCCCAGCCTCTGGAGGCCCCTGGCGGGTTTACCCTGTAAGTAGAGGTGGCCCGCATGCGCCGAGTCACTGGTAGCTTGCTCTTAGCTTCTGTGTTATTCCAAAACTGACAAAATAGAAGAAGAAAACATTTTAGGACCTACTGATCTGCTCATCACAGGGAACAGAAGTTGGAGAAGAGTCTAGGGGTCGGCAGGAACCAGCCGTGATGTGATGGACATGGCTTCCCCAGCGCTGCCGTGTGGTCGGTTCTGCCCAGGGAGGCTGTAGAGGCAGGAATGGCTAGTCTCTTCCCGCCAAGCTTGGTCGCCAGCCCTCCCCCAGCTCTGCCCCACGCCTGGGCGGGGAGGGGCCGCGGACTGGCTTCCACAGGACAGGAGGGCTGAGGAGGTGCTGCTGGATGTCTTAGCAAAGGGGGGCGGTGGGGTGCCTGGGCGGTTTTCAGCGTGACTTCATGAAAGTGTCCAAATGGCATCAAGAATAGTGTCTTGTTTGCCCGCCAACTTGCCTGAAATAGAAAGCCCGCGGCCGCCATGAGCACCTTGGCAGAGGCGGCGGCAGCTGCCCGCGGACCAGCCGGCCGTATGCACGTCTGTCTGTGTGCTGATATCCCACAGGTTGCTTAGGCTCTGTGCATTTTTCTTCGGTCATTTTTCTGTCTATTCCCCAGACTTGACTATTTTTCTTGTCTTATCTTCAAGTTCTTCCTACTCACATCTATCTAGTGAACTTTTTCATTGCATTTATTGTACTTTTCAGCCCTAGAATATCTTTTTAGGTTTTCTCTTTTCATTAATACATCCATTTTGCTCATGCGTTGTGTTCTTGACTTTTTCACATGTTTCTTTAATTCTTTGAGCATCTTTAAGACAGTATTCCAGGGTATCTGCCATTCTTTTTCAGAGACAGTTTCTGCTGACTTACTCTTTTCCTTTGAATGAGCCATTCTTCCCTGTTTCTTTGTATGCCTTGTGATTTTTTGTTGAACAGTGGGCATCTGAACGTGACGGTGTGGTAATAGTGGGAATCAGATCCTCCCCTTCTCTAGCATTTGCTGTTCTGTGCATTTTGTTTGTTTTGCTGCCTGGTGTAGGCTGTCTCAGTGCTGGCAGGCGGCCCAAGGTACAGGCTTAAGGTTGTTTTATGTCTTCTCTGTGCCTTTCCTTGGGCTTGTGCTGTCACTTTCTGGTTTTCCGTGAATGTGCAGTTGTTTTTGATTATTCTAATCTTAACGTCAGGCTCCCAAAAGTGGAAAAGCAAAAAATGATAGTGGGGAGGGAGGGCAGTAGTCCTACCCGTGAAAGTCAACAGTGGGGGAGGTACAACAGTGCCCACCTGTCTTTCTGAACCTCTATGGTTAGAAACAGACACCAGAGCATAGATCCCTGGTATCTGGGGGACAGGGTCCTTTTGGCCCAGCCTGGCTCCCACAAGCTGTGTGCGAGCTGCTCAGGGATCACATGCATGGCTGCCTGCTGTGGGGCTGGGCTGGGGGTGTGTACCTGCCTCTGTGCTGAGAACTGAGCAGCCTACCGCCCAAGCCTTCCCCTGGGAGCTGCGAACCTCTAGCGGACCCCTGAGCTCCGTGGTGGTGCCGTCGGACATTCTGGCCGCGCAGCTTGCCTTGGTGAGGAGACGGAGTCCTGGCACTCCTACATCTTCCCCTCGGGGGCTCATTTCCTTCTGTTGAGTTCTTTGTTGGATATCTGATCTGCAAGTATTTCCTTCCAGTCTGTGGCTTGTCTTTTCATTCTCTTGTATTTCATAGAGCAGAAGTCTTAGTTTTGATGAAGTCTGTTGTATTTCTTTTATGGATCACGCTTTTGGTATTCTCTCTCAGAATTCTTTGCCTAACTCCAGTTCCCAAAGGTTTTCTCCTAGGTTTTCTTCTGAAAGTTTTAGTTTTATAGTTCTACGGTTTATATTTATATCTTTATGATGCATTTTGAGAGAATTTTTGCATACTATGTGAGGTTTAAGTGAAGATTCTTTTGCGTGTGTGTGTGTGTGTGTGTGTGTGTGTGTGTGTGTGTGTCCACTTGTTCAAAACTACTCTTTGTTGGGAAGACTGCCCTTTGTTCATTGTATTACCTTTACAACTTTGTCAGAAATCAAGTGTGCATATCTGAGCAGGTCTTCATATAGGTCACATGTTCTCCTCCATCCATCTCTGTATCTGCTCCTCTGCCAAATGCCACTGTACTGATGACTGCGGCTTTATAATAAGTCCCAAAATTATGTTATTCCACAAACTTTGCTCCTCTGGTTCAAAGTTATTTAGCTACGCTGTTTCTTTTGTGCCCATGCCAATTTTATGAATAGTTTGTCTTTATAAAATCCATTTAATGCAAAAAATCACATTAACTCTATAGATCCATTTGGGGGGAATCAGCATATTTTCTACGATGAGTTTCTGATCTGTGTACACAGCTCATCTCTCCTTGTATCGGGTCCGCTGTGCCGTGGGTGTGGGTGTGCGTGTGTTTCAGCGCACTGACCCTAGACATTTCTGTTGGATTTATACCTAAGTTCTCCTTCTTTTCTTTTCTCCTTCTATTCCCCCTCCTCCGTTTCGTCTTATTTTTAAACTGATGTAAGTGTAGAAATTTTTGTCTCTAATTGTTCATTGCTAGTATTCAGAAATACAATTGACTTGAGTGTGTTGGCTTCATGTTCTTTAGTAACCTTGATAAATCCACTTACTAGTTTTAGGGTTTTTTTGTTGCAGATTCCTTATAATTTTATACATATACAATCATGTTTTCTGCCAATAGGAACAGTTTTCTTTCTTTCCAATCTGTATGATTTTTCATTTCTTTTTCTTGCCTTATTGCCCCAACTAGGGTTTCCAGTGTGAGATCAGATAGTGACTCGTGGTTATCCTTGTCTTGTTTCTGATCTTATGGGAGCGGTGGTTTGATCTTTTACTCTTAAGCATTAGCTGTAGGCTCTTGTGTAGATGCTGCTCTATTTATTTCTCTGTTGATCTCCGAGCTCCCGGATTCTTCTTCCGTGGTCTCCATTCTGCTACTGCGCCCGTCTAGTGAATTCTTCTTACTCATTTTTCAATTCTAAAATTTCTATTTCTGCTTTGTATCTTTTCTCTCCTGAGACTTTCTGCTTTTCCATTTATTTCCAAGAGTGTTTGCTTCCACTGCTTCGAGCGCTTTATGTGCTTTAAAGTCTTTGCTGGGCCCTCCCCAGGTCTGTGCCGTCTGCTGTTGCCCTGCACTGGGGTCTTTTCTGCAGGAGCTGACATTTTCCTGGTCTGTGTAATGAGTAATTTTGTGTCCTAGACATTTTTAATGTCATTAGACTCCAGACCTTGTTTACTCAGTGCGGAATTTGATGTCTTTGTTCTGCTGTTAGCAGGTGGCTTAAGTTTGCAAGTTCCGACTTTTCTCTGGGGTTAGATTCCCTGTCAGTTCATTCTCAAAGCCTCTGTCTTGCTTTGCATACCTGCCCTGCAGGTGTGCCATCCTGTGGCCAGTCTCACCTTGGCAGTGGAGCAGATAAAGGGTAGCAGTGGAAAAATCAGTGAAATTCAAATAAAGCCTATGGTTTAGTTGAAAAAGCACATACAAGTCTCCTCAGAACAGTCTGGGCGGCAGCAGACTGGCTGGGCCCAGACCGCAGCCCGGCCGCCTCTTGGGTGTCCCCCTCCCTCCAGGGGCCGGGCCAACAGCTCAGCAGCAGGACTCAGCGAGCAGGCCGCCACCGCCCTCCGCCCTGCGTCCGCCCCGGGGAAGCTCAGACTTCCAGTCCTCGATCAGGTGGTTTTATAGCCCATTTCAAAGGGTCTCCGATTTTTAAAAAGCAGGGATGATTCTTCCTCCAGTAAAGTTCATTCCAAATGGGAGTTGACGAGCTAAGTAAGACTAGGACGTCATCTGATGTCTTGGTTCAGGCACGTCTGTAGATTCAGAATAACGCAGCCAGCATGAAGCCAGCAGCAGCTTCCCCGAGGCCCCTGTGGCCCACAGGGTGCCTGCTCGTGTGCTCGCCTCAGCGCGCCACGGAAACCCCCGCTCGGCGTCCCGTCAAACCCACTCTCCCTGCAGCTCTCTGCTGTGCTCACAGCAGAGACGCACGGAGATCCCTCCTTCCCGGGACCGGGTGCGCCTGGTGGCCCCCCCGGTCGCCCAGGGTTGCATGGAGCCCTCCTCTCTTTGTCAGCTGCTCTGTCACCTTCCTTTTCACCGAGCAGAGTAACCAGCCCAGAGGGCCCTACAGCGGCCACAGAGCCTCTCTGGTAGCCACGGAGGCTGTGGGCAGCTGCCCGCTTTTTGTGTTCCGGGCTTTGTCCAAAACACTCCCTGGAGACAGAGTTTCATGGGGACATCAGAAGCACAGCTTCAGAAGTGGACAGAAGCTCAGATCCAGCTGAGCCTTGGGCTCTGAGGCCTGGGCCAGTCTCTCAAACCTTTAGATTGGAGGACAGAGTTATTTTAAGATGAACAAAGTAGCATTCAGCTCCCTGCCCAGGGCTGCCGTGATTGAGTTCCAGTCCTGAAAGCTGCATTTTTCAGTCATTTCCCACAAAGTGTCTAATCTCAGAAGAGCATGTGGACAGGCAGGTGGAGACCCTGCCCTGCGAGGTG